AATATCAAAGCTCAGAGAACACCGAACCACCGTCATCTACTGCTCACTTGAAATGCTGAGACTTTGCAAGCGACTTAGTGTCACCAGACTCTATATAACAGGTTTGACTCATTGCTCAGCATATGGACTTGTATGTGGTCACTCGGTTTATTTAATGTTATCATAGAACGTGGTAATACTACCTAGCAGTCCACGTTGTCACCTCTAGCACTATCACATCAAGATATAAGGAAATAGACATAATGACAAAGAAATGCCAGTTTGGTCAAAATCCGTAAAAGCCATACAGCAAAGAGATGGTTTAGAGTAAGATACTAGGTAGTAAGATTAAAGATAGAGGAATGGGGAGAGATTTCAACGACAATTTTAGAAAGTCATAATATAAGAGAAAGGAAGGACACCTTGATACGGTCGTTAAGCTTGTATATCCCAATGACCCAGAGAGCTATGCGGGTGGAACGCTTGTTCCCCAAGGTCCTAACATACCAGAAATGTCAGTTAGATAGTGGTAAGGCAGAAGGTAGTTACCGTTGTTGTTTAAAAGTGTACGCTGTGATGGGGTCCGACGGCAAATTCGTAATACTGGTTAGACAGGGGTATGATAACAGTATGGCGTTTCCCTTGGATAACCACTAGTGCCAAACTGGTGCTGCCTTCCCTATGCAAGGGGAGGATAACAAAAGGTCGCCCTTAAAAAATACCACACTCCCCACTAACCCTCAGCTTACCGGAGCCGGTGACCAGGGTTCATAGTTGGATTCCAAATTAACAAAGCAAAACCTCGAAATTCTAAAATGGCCGCTTGTGACCGACCTCAAACTGACGTTCCGTTGGACGTATGGTCACACACTAACTCTTCCCTTCTAGGTATCTGAAGAAAAGACAACCTTTCACGGTGCGGGTAGCTGGGAAGTATCGATCTCCTTCACAGCTCTGCCAGTCAAAAGTCTCCAAGCACTGATTCTTGCTATCGTTAAGAGCCAAGTCGAGCAGTCTGTGCCTCCCGAAAACGACTCAGACCAGCATTCATAAGTCTCATGAACCGGTTCCATATCTTAGTCTGTTCACCCTAATTCTTCCTGTTCAAATCATATTTCGGCTATCATTGCTTGTCTAGATAGGTGGTAATTCAACGTGTGCAACACGTGTCCAAGTCACTTCGTTCGATGAAAGTTCACTACTCCATCGACTAACTTGGCTTCCTCGCCTAGTGCCATCAATCCGCTTGACCTCAACATTGCTCACACGATGATTCCACTATATTTGAGTGATCCTGCGAAGATACCTGTTATCTATTCACACTTACTTTCAACGACCATGTCAAAGCCGTATAATAGGACAAGGCGAAGTGCATCACAGTATGCTTGCCATGCTTTAAGTAGTTACATATTTTACTGGTGGCATGTATGGCGTAATTTGGCAAATGCCAAGCAAGCGAATTGTATCCGAACTGACATTCTATCAGAAAGCAACCTATTTGGGCTGATGCATGAATTGGTCAACCGTTTACATTGCTCCTTTCCTTATCTTTAGACTAGTATTTGGTGCAGATTAGTGCTGAAGTATCATCTTTCATGTTACAGGTGCGAAACACACGTCACAGGTACTGAGATTTCCTCTCAAGATGTTAAGAAGACTCTGAATTTTTTCATTGTCTTCCCCTAACATATCTACGTTTTCTGCGTGCGCTAGGTCAAGCAGATGTCCTCTGGTTTTTATACATATTAGTACTACTAGAGCACAGAACTTTTACAACATGCATGATGAAGATGCAGAAAATAGAGGAGAGGATAGAAACAAAAATAAAAGTGAGTTATTAAGTGAGTAGTCTTGAAGGTGATTCCGAAAAACCATCCACTTTTTGGTACTGAGTTTCAGCTGTCGAGGAAGGACAAAAACTCCAGCATAATAGCTACTGGTTTCAAGTCTGAGCCATATTTGGCATCTTCTCAAGTTATTGAGTTGGATATGTCAGAGTTTTGAGGTACCTACAGATGTTAACCTAACAGAGTCATCCTTCTCCTCACGACACCATGTGATACACTAGCTACTTCCACCACTTCCCATCTGTTCTGAGGAAAAAGAAAAAGAAGCGTCGTAGCTTCTGGGACAACATGCGCAACACCTGTTCAAGCCACTGAAGCCGGTGTTTCAAGATGACCACACATCTGCTACGCTCAAAAACATGTCTCACCTCAAAATTACTCACACAGTGTTTCCGTGGGATGCATAAAGCTTTTTAGCGACAACGGTGGTCGGGAACTCATGATCGTCGAACATACTCATCTTCCAAAGGTGAGTTTTCACATGCATGGAGCAGAATTGCTCTCATCAGAGTGCTGCATAGCAGGCCTTTCAAAGTAAGGTCAGAAACATGATGGTACAAAATGTGGACCAGATTTACGTATGCCATTCTGGCTTTCGATATTTGAATCGAAGTTTCATCATCAGTCACCATACCTCCACCAGCAATGACACAACTGTCCAGGTACACACGTTTTCCGACAACTTCCAATGATATGCTATCACGTGTGAGTGTAAGTGCAGTCTCTTATCAGTCATCTAGTAGTATTTGCACTTCGATGTTGCAAAGCAGATACCGTATTTACGGACATTGATAACTAACTGACTGGTTGCTGTTTGAGTAGCCTGTGTGTTGTCACAATAAAGGAGCGTCGTCCGTGCATACTTGAGGTTGAAAGGTCTTTCCCCTGGTAATATATATATATATATATATATATATATATATATATATATATATATATATATATATATATATATACTTCAGGACTGTTTCTAGAACGTTATCAAGAAGAAAGCTGAAAAGAAATGGCGATATTGGGCAGCTTTGCCTGTAACTATACTATCGATTCGGAACAATCGAGACAGACAGCTTTACGCCCTCACTTCACCTGAGTTGTTTTCGTGTAAGACTTTCAAGATATTGACAAGGTTTTTAGAGACACCTTTCACTAGTTGAGAGTTCTAGAATACAGCCCTATCTAACGAATCGAAAGTGGCCTTAATATCAAGAAGTACAACGATTGTTGATCTGCAATACACATGACAGTGTTCGAGCATTTGGTGAGTGTTGAACACGTAATCAATGTATCCGCGATGTGAAAAATATCTGACCCGCTTTTCCCATATCACTTTCTGGTGCTATTTTCAGGACATGTGAAATATGATACTAGCTAACCTCTTAGACATTACCAGTGGCAGAATGATACCCTGAAGATGAATACATACATTACGTAGACCCTTTTTGAAGATGGTTGAAACAATGTTTTCATTTCGGAATGATGGAACACTCAATCTGCCATATCTCAAACAAGGTAGCCAAGTCCTCTTGCAACCATATGACCCCTATCCTTATATAGACCTGGGTTTAGGCTATCTTGACGGTGTTTCTTATGGAGCTGTAGAGCTTGGATTTCGTTACGAACCTGGGCTTCGTTAGATGTATTAGTATTAACTGACTATGGAGCACAAGACATTGGAATCGATGTTACCGCGACATTAGGCTAGACTGCCATTCGAAATATTCCGCCCAACGTTCTACGTATCTATGAAATTTGTTGATTAGCGTATCATCTACTTTGCAGACTGTCTCATTGACACTAAACTCCTTGTCGAGGGCTCTAATGAGCTGGAATGATGTCGGAATGTTTACAGATGCAGCTGGTGATTCCATCCCATTCGCGTGTTCTGGCCACCCGACCTCGTGTTCTTTATTAAAGTGCTACTTGACCTGTAACATAAGAGAGTGACTTACCATTTTACTCGCTGCTTGCTGGAATACACTGATCAGTCTCAAAAAGTTGCAGGGAGCTCTGCAAGATGGCCTTTTAATCCACAAGCAGATGCACTCATGGTTTTCATTATGTTTTATAGACACAACCAATGGTCATCTATACATCCTGGAGACTGGATAGCTGGCCTTGAATCTAGCTACACTTGGTATTTAGTTGCAGTGTCGGGCGCAACCAGTTTGCTTACATCGTTGCATATCAGACGGTAATTTTGATGACCACAAGATAAACTCAGCACTTAATAAAGCGTGATCAGAATCCAGTCAATTATTCCAGAAGAAGCGGTAATCCTGAATGCAACACCATTTGTAGCTGATTTCAATATGATCTATTTCAGCCCAGTTGTTACAGTGGTGATGACTGTCCTGAATTTTCATTCTGGTTAGAAGCAGGTTTTGATTTGCAAAGTACAGAAGGCGTTCCACACTATCTGACCTTCAATCAAGTAATCTCCATTGACTGACTTAAGAACTTTTCCTGTGAGTCTAGATGCGTAACGTATGCATCCAATGTACTCCCCCCGAGTATATAAAGTCGAACTATGTGGTAATTTTTTAAAGTAAATTTTTATAGATGCTGCTATTACGGATGGTTGGTCCGTAAAAAACTAACTTATGCATATATTTTCACCGTAAAATTCAAACCTTATTTTCGCGCCTTCTTTCGCTTCATGCAATGTTACTTATTTTTCACCATGGTTTAAGACACTAAACCTTGATTAGTCTGTTTTACACTTTTAGTATGCCATTTTGTTCTCCCTAATCAAGGCCTTTAAAAAAGTGTATAAATGACGCAACTTTCAGCTGTAATCGCACCATTTAGTTAGAGTAACTATACGTTCAATCCCATTGTCTTCTGATGTCAGCTAAGTATTGTGTTGGGAAGTTATTGTTCTATCGTTAATCACATCGCATCAGAGCATAATATCGTTCATATATATTCTGCAGAACAAAAAGAAACTGCATTCTCAACGTTCATTTCGTGTGATATTAGCAGTATGACAGCATACTACTGAAATTATCATTTGATGAAATATAATTTTTCACTTTTATATATATCTTTTCAGAATCAATGATTTTCTTCGATAATTTGGTATGTTTCAGATGCTGAATACCCTGAATCTACGCTTAATTCATAAAGTATCATTGTTAAGGATTTAATTCCTACTATTTATTAAACAATCGAAAAATGAAGCCTATACTTCCAATTTTTAAACGCTTAACAAATATTTCCAGTGTTCGTCGTTTAGGGTAAGGTGACAAACTTTCTATTACCCTTTTTTTTTCATTATTTATATTTCATAATTAGAGTTGGTCTAGTAGACGATCTAGATCGTGTTCTTACACATAAAGAAATTAAAAGTGTCAACTTTGATTTAGTCAACTATGGAACAGATGGAATCTTCTTTTCAGCCTACAATGAAGATGGATTTATTTTGAGTAATGGTACAAAAATCATTGGACCATGTGCTGTTTTCCCTAATAATGCTTTCAGTTGGAATGTATGTATTGTTTGTTGTCATTTAATGTAAATCTTGTCTTTATAAGGTGAAGGATGCATTAGATATATCAGAGAAATCGTTATCTTTATTCTTTTTACTGGAACCTCCAATCGGTAAGTTGATTATTCATATATATAACACAGACTAATAATTATTATTCATTTTCAAAGAACTACTGATTATAGGTAAGGGAGAGATGAAAAGTTGGGTTGATTATCGTAAGATATTGGATATCTGTTGGAAGCATAGATTGTGTGTTGAAGTGATGCCGACAGTAAGTATTATTTCTTTAAATTTTCTGGTGTTCACCCTCAGTTCTTGACATATTTTTCTTGTTTTAATTGTTGGATACTTTTTCCTCAGTAATGATTTTGTCACATTAATCTATTTAAATATTTCTTGAAGGGCGTTCAACATCTCACTAAATTGTGAAGTTTGGGTCAGCCTTGTTGGGCCAGTGGGTGATGAAATCTCTGGATGCGCACAAAACGCTCACTTGACTTTCGTCAACCTATGACACGGGTCGAGTGCGATATGCTGCTGTTCTTCTGTGTGGCTGTGAAATACTGCTATCAGAGGTGGAGGATATGAAAAGGCTTGACGTATTCGGTCATCGTTACCTTTGTAGCGTTAGCCGTGTTTTGCAGTGTCACCAAGTGAGTAATGCAGAGGTCAAGTGTAGAGTTTTAGGGACGAGAGAGGAAAGTCAGTTGATGCGGTTGTGAACCTTCATCGACTAAGATGGCTGGGATATGTGTTACGTATGTCTAGTCACTGTCTGCCTCGTCGCACAATGTTGGCCGAAGTAGGTTCAGGCTCAGTGCAGCCGGAATAAAACATCAGTTCATGAAAAATTTGACTCTTGTCATGAGCCAGAGAGATTCAGACATACTCGCTTGGGGTCTGACTTCGCAGGAATTCACCTATTCCCTGAGGGTCATCTGGTTGACTTGGAATATGCAGACGATATTGTCCTGCTAGGTGATAACGCTAACAAAGTGTAGGGTTTTGTGAACGTGTTACACATAAGTCTGTGTATGTTTGGCATGCGTTTCACCGCACCCATGAAAATGTAAGATGATGCTCCAAGACTGGTCTACTTCAATTACTTCCATCTTAATGATAGGGTATGAAGTGGTGGAATGTGTCAACCAATTCACCTGGGAAATTATATCAGCCCTAACGGGTTAGTTGCTGACGAAATCTTAGTCGTTTGGCACTTGCCAACTTACGTCACCCCTGGCATCGGCAAAATATCTGACTATCTATGGAAGAACAAGAATGCTGCGCTACAGTTTGTTCTGTTCTGTTATAATATGGCTGTGAGACTTGGTTGTTGAAAGTAGGAGATAAGAAACAGTTACAAGGTTTTGATTATAGGTGTATTCTCAGCACTGCTCGTGTTTGATGGAATCACCGTGTAAGGAATGTTGAGGTTAGGAGAAGAGTAATAGGCAAAACAGGCTAGCCGATTGATGAGGTTGTGAACCTTAGTCGACTCAGATGACTTGGACATGTGTTTCACTTGCCGAGCCACCGTCTACCTCGACGTACCATGCTAGGAGAAGTTGGATTAGGATGGAAGAGGTTTCAGCATAGTCAGAGCAAGACATGGCACCAGTCGATGAAGTCCCTGACAGTTGGTTTCAGTCGTGTGAGGAGATGTAGACTGCCTGGTTGGGGTCTCCGAAACGAAAGGAACCAGTTATTGAAGACTGTTTCTGACATGGTTGAAAATCGGTCACAATAGTGGAAATGTATTCACTCCTTGACATCTAATGCTTCAATATTTTCACTGACTTTTACCTTCAGATTGCTTATTCTCTCACACAGCTTTGTTTTCTTTGTGTACTACTGTCAAGTGTGGCAGCTTGAGACTATGCACCTGTATAGAGGGTTCTACGTTGATTTTGTCAGTCGTCAACACTTCAGCTCTGGCATCCCCTTTGAATTGCAAATTCCTGATTAGGATTTTAGCAGTTTGCGGGAATTGGTTGGTTGATTTTAGGTTACTTTCACCATAGACTAAAATCATTTGGAGATGACAGTTGGAAACCTGGATGCACTGGAAAGCAGCTGTCTTGTCCTATTAGGGGATTCCTTAGGAGTAGCTAACCAAGTTTCCACTCGGTCAGGGATCAAACCCAGCACTTTCCGGTTTCATGGTGGTCGATCTAATGGTTGAGTAGTAACCTACTCTTTGAGAAACCTGATGTTTCTGGCCTCATATGTTGTAAACCAGTGTATTTAAAGAAATTTCAAGTATTTAGAACAAATTACTAACCATATATACATATATTTTATGCTATTTTTTCACAGGTTAGTGCAGTAGGCACATTCAACTTTTTAAATTCAGAAGGACGATATGTGGCAGCAGGAATTATTCCTCCTCATCGTCTAGATCACTATGATGAAGCAAATCTTAAAGCTTCCAGAATATTATTATCTGAACAAGATGAAGACGTGCAACAACCTCTGCTACAAAATCCAACTGATCTAAAACTACTTACATCTGGTGAATATAAAGGAATTTCTGTGGCACGTTCACCGTTAGCCAAAAGTAACGCGTTGTCATCATCATCTTCATCTGAAGAAACATGATTTTGTGTCATTATGATTTGGTTCTTCGTTTTGATTATGTACATGCATAAAACCCCTACCTGCTTTGGTTTTTCTAGGTGGCCATTGTTCACTACTATGCATAATAAACTCATACATACGTATTCTTTTAACTTATTGCCTGTTTAAGTGTGTATGAATATGTCGATTTCAACCAGTTTCTTTTGTTTTTGCCTCTCCGTTTGTCGATTTGTCTGTCTGTTTATCATTCTTATTTGCACAAATACTGGAACCAGAGGTACCAGAAAGGTTAGCTAACTGTCTACTTTCTGCTTCCCACCCCTCTGGCAGTACGTATTCATTGTTTCATCCATCATGCATCAACCTCGGACCAGGAATTACTGCGTAACAGTCCGAGTTACCACACCTCATCATATCAGTACATAAAGTAAAACATCAGTGAAGTACAAGATGAAGAAAAGGAAATTCAATCAAAAGAAATATTAAGTACGAAAAGAGAGAAAGGAAGAATGTGAGAATGGTGAGATTCACTATAGCGTCGTTAAGATGAGGATAACGTGTGTGTCTCTGTGTGTGTGTATGTATGTATACATCTGAACCACTCACATCGGTTCTCAACCATGTGATCACCTACAGTCAGTCTCCAACCACTGGTTTCTCTTGTCACGCACACACCAACCAACCAGTCTACAAAATCGCCCCACATGCCTCAAAACCAACAGTCAAACACTTCATACATTCATGTCATGTTTTAGTCTGGTCGACAGCCAACAGCCCTGCGCCAGTCTGAACCTACTTCGGTCAACATTGTGTGACGAGACAGATGGCGAATAGGCACACGTAACACATATGTCCCAGTCAACCATCTCACTCCATGAAGGTTCACAACAGTGTCAACTCACTCAACAGACCTCTTCTCCCTAAAACTCTACACCTGACTTCTCCGTTACTCATGTGGTGACACCACGGAATACGGCCTATTCTACGAGGACAACAGTGGTCAAACACCTGAAGCCAGCCTTCTCATGTCTTCCACCTTCAATGACCATGTTTCACAGTCATAGAGTAGAACAGAGAGGACTGATGTACAGTACATGCGACCCTAAATAGACAGTCGGATATCACGGCGGCGCCATTTGTGGTGTAAGTTGGTGAAAGTCAGCTGAGCCTTTTTGTATTCTTGCAGAGATTTCACAGGCCACTGAGCCATGAGGGCTGATCTTCCTTCGCTTCTCAGATAAGTGAAGTGGTCGACACACTCAAGCACTACACTCTCTATTGTTAGCCGGAGAGACACCGTTGAAGACCAATCCTGGAGTAACAATTTTCATTTGGGTGTTAAGAAACGCACTCCAAACTTTCTCAAATTTTCACCCAAAGTGTCCATAAGACTCTGCATCTTATCAGGGTCTTCACTTGACACGACTATGTCATCTGCGTATTCTAGGTATAACGAAAATCCTCCCGCTATTCATTGTCTCTTCTCGCATGATAGGCACTACAGTCGTCTTGTTCCGAATGTGTTTAGTAATTATGCTACTGCGGTGCTGGGCTTCTTGCCGATTGTCTCCATCCAACTAACATCTACTGATGTTGATCGTCATGTTAAACCGTCTAACTCGGTGACTATATTCCAAGTACTAGATAACAGGTAGTCAGTTAACCTCCGTTGACAAATCAGTGCACTTAATCGATTATTATAAAGAGGTCAATGAACGCCTGAATAGCTCATTGGTAACGTCTCTGACTGCATGCCCCGGATGATACGGGCTCTAGTCTGTGACAAGACATCAGTTCCGTAGAGGCCACAGATACGGGTTGCTGACCCTGGTGCCAAGAAGCACGAAACGTAGGTCAGACAGAGCTTCCTGTCGATAACCTCCAACCAACTAACATAGTCACAGTTTGGTAGACTTGATTTGTATTATTGATACTACTAGATGATATCTTAAAGTGAGATGAAAATGTACCCTGTGACAGGGTTCGAACCAGCGGCCTCTGGGTCACCGACCTGGTGCTCTACCAACTGAGCTGCGAGACTCAGTTGTTCATCAGGCAGTCAGCCCAAACTTTTGTTGATTGAAGTGGTCAGCAGTTAATTCTGATAGTCTCAGTTGGTAGAATACCGGGCCGGTAAATAGGAGGTTACTGCTTCGAATCCCACTGTGGCCGAGATTTTTATTTCACCCTTAATCATTCGTCAGTAATAATATCCATATTACCCCAAGTTTTTTAGGGCTATGTAATGCTTCCTGAGTAATTTATACACATATAACGTGAAGCACTTAGTCTCTTTTATAAATTTGGATAGTGTAATTACAAGATGAAATTCATCTGAACAACTGTGATGTCTGGTTGATATTCATTATGGACTGACATCAGTTGGAGGACCGTTGAGAACCTGAAAGCACTGAATGAATAGCTGTTTCGTTCTAGCATGGGACCACTCAGGATGCAATATCACTGAGCATAAAGAGTTCAAGAGTGAATTAGAACACCAATGAAGGGTTATATATATATATATATATATATATATATATATATATATATATATATATATATATATATATAATCCCACCTTTCACGACGTCGTGGGATCTTCCGTTTCAGGCAATCCTAAAGCAATTAAACAGAAAATTATGCATTATTCAAATAATTATCTTTGAAGAAATTAATCAAAATTAATTATTATTTTAATTACTACTTGTTGTTTAAACTATAATTCACTGCTTTACACACCATGGGTTCGAACCCTGCAGTGCCTACCAAGATATCCACAGGCAGATAATGAGTATCACTAGCTTTTATACAATAAATGTTTAGCTCAATACTTACTTTCTACTGAAGTTTAAAATTTTAATTTTTCATTATCCCGTTTTTTATTTCAATAATTTTATTTAGTTTGTATACAAAGTTTATCATGGTGTTCCCAGCCAATGGGCTGTATTAAACGTTGTACAATTTCCGGTGAAATTTTCTAAAGTAATCAATAAATGCAGAAAATTATTTTCAAGTCAAATTACTACTGAATTTAAATCAACTTCTGAAGATCCAAAGAATGAATCAAGTGAACCTAAACGTATTTGGCCAAGACAATTACCTAATTTTATTGAAGCTGTCAAACCACCACCTTCAACATCTGTGGCAGCTACTTCAAAAGCACCATTGATTAAAGACTTTTTCAAAGGTCAAATAAATCTTGTAGGTGTCATTTAACTTCAGATTATAGTATTTTTTTGATATCGACTAATTTATAATGAGGTTGATGATTGAAGGTGAAATGAAAATTTAGACTGTAGCCGGATTCAAACCAAGTGACCAATTGATTAATATCACTAGTGAACTTTATATTCTTGTTGAGTAGACTATGAATTTGTTCGCTTATTCTATAGAGTATGAGAAATAGAATTTGAAAATTAGTTTCTGGGTAATCCACTTTTCTATGGTATGTTTTGTACTACTTATTACAACAGATGTAAGTAGTATGTAATGTGATATCGCTAAGCAGATTAAGCAAAGTTATCATTTAAATTAATAGAGGAACTAAATACATAAGGCAAGTCAAGAAGCAATGGAAATTGAAGATTATCACATCTTGTATGTAGTAGATCCATACAGAGACTGGTTGCGTGAATTGTGTTCAATGTGAAATTTTTATACTTTTTATGGGGAGACTCAACTGTTTTCCTACGGTAATAGAGATGTACAAATGAGCACATCATTAGATGATTGATAACAAATCTATGTTTGTAGCACTGATTGATGATGTAGTAGAATGCGGTTAGCAAAATAGTAGACGATCGGATCGGCCCTGGTGGCTTAGTGACCGATGAAATCTCTGCAAGAATACAAAAAGCCTCAGCTGACTTTCACCAACTTACACCACAAATGGCGCCACCATGATATCCGATTGTCTATTTAGGGTCGCATGTACTGCACATCAGTCCTCTCTGTTCTACTCTATGACTGTGAAACATGGTCATTGAAGGTGGAAGACATGAGAAGGCTGGCTTCAGGTGTTTGACCACTGTTGTCCTCGTAGTATAGGCCGTATTCCGTGGTGTCACCACATGAGTAACGGAGAAGTCAGGTGTAGAGTTTTAGGGAGAAGAGGTCTGTTGAGTGAGTTGACACTGTTGTGAACCTTCATGGAGTGAGATGGTTGACTGGGACATATGTGTTACGTGTGCCTATTCGCCATCTGTCTCGTCACACAATGTTGACCGAAGTAGGTTCAGACTGGCGCAGGGCTGTTGGCTGTCGACCAGACTAAAACATGACATGAATGTATGAAGTGTTTGACTGTTGGTTTTGAGGCATGTGGGGCGATTTGTAGACTGGTTGGTTGGTGTGTGCGTGACAAGAGAAACCAGTGGTTGGAGACTGACTGTAGGTGATCACATGGTTGAGAACCGATGTGAGTGGTTCAGATGTATACATACATACATACACACACACACAGACACACACGTTATCCTCATCTTAACGACGCTATAGTGAATCTCACCATTCTCACATTCTTCCTTTCTCTCTTTTCGTACTTAATATTTCTTTTGATTGAATTTTCTTTTCTTCATCTTGTACTTCACTGATGTTTTACTTTATGTACTGATATGATGAGGTGTAGCAACTCGGTGCATGACGATGGATGGAGACGATATCTATTAAGGTTTGTAGTTTTGTGTTGATTATTTTATGCTGTACTGAATTCATCATTCGTTTTTGGCATGTAGACTCTTTGATTCGGATATCTGGAGATTATTCCTAGTTTTGTTTAGCATAATTTGCTTGATGGTGATTTGTAATGGAATCTAGTAGGCATATTTCATCCTATTGAAGACTGAAGACTAAGTGTGTTTGGATTGCAGTAAGTGTCGGATTTAGGTAGAGGTTCATCCAACTAGTGTGTTCCAGATACGATTATATGCTCATTCTGGATTTCATTACAATCCCCTACCAAGCATGTAATAATCCACACATTTGATATGGCATTGAATGACCGAATTTATTTGGCTTGTAGCTGCGGATCTTTTTCTCATTCTTAGAAATTTCATGAAGCTAACGTTCACTATGGAATGGAACTGATATATGGTTCATACACTGTTGTTTAGTTTGAGTCTCAACTATCTACTGGTACTATTTAATTATCAACTAATGTGACGGTGAATTTGGGTGTTTGTGGGAATTTAGTAATTTTTCCAGCTGGTAGTTATCATGGAGAAGGATTGAAACCTGGGAAACCTGAACAGTTGTTGCGTTTTAGTTCGGGACTCCTTAGATCCCCTTAGTGCTCATTAGTGACTGGGTTCTAGGGGTGAATTTTGAATTTCCAACGGGAAGTCGTGATCGGTGGGGCAAACCTGGTGACCGTGAGGAAAAATACTCAACGATGACATTAAGTGATGGTTGCGCTAGGTTGTGAACCGACGGAAGTTGGAAATATGGATCATTAGATTCCGACCCAGTGGCTCAGTGGTAACGTGCTAGCCGCGGGACCTAAAGGTCGTGGGTCTAACCCTTGAGGGGGGCAGGGTCATGGCTGCGCATTGCTGAGGAGTCCCACACTAGGTCGAAACAGCCGCTGTCCAGTGCCTCCAGGTTCCCAGTGTTCCTCCAACTGATGTCATTCTATGATAGATACCAACTTGAAAAGATTTCGATATTTCCTTTAATCTCGTTATCAATTTACAACTAATTTCAACTGAAAAAAGGAAATAAAAGAATAAACTCATGGGATATTTGGCCAGTGTGTAGAAGAGAATCTGTCGAATAGAAACGTTCAAATATAGCGCCTCGAAATGAACTTTTAATCTATAGGCAGATAGAGAGATAGATAGACAAACACATTCAACGTAGGACCTCGTGTACAGGTGCATCGGCTCAAGTTGTCATACTTCACAGTTATATACAAAGAAAAGAGCGTGGTCAAAATAGAAAACGTCGAGTGCGCTAATAAACAATTTGAAGGTCGCGGTTAGTGTGAATATTCAAGCTTAGGAGATTTCAAGGTTTGAATACATCTGCACCATTTTGATCGATTTTCAACCATGTCACCAAGAGTTAGCAACCACTAATTCCTGTCGTCTCGGAGACCACAGTCAGCCTGCCGACATCTCCCCACACGACTCAAACCACCAGTTAGGGACTTTATGAAATGACTGGTGCCACGTTTTGGTCTAGCATCTCTGAACCCCCTTCCAACCTAATCCGACTTACTCTAGGATGAGATATCCAGTTAGGTGGTGGTGGCTCGGCACGTGAAGTACATGTGCAAGCCATCTCAGTTGTTGAATGTTTGCAACCTCACCAACTGATATGCCTACCTTGCCTAGTACAATTTAACTAAATTCAACACTGGTCACACCGTGTTCCCACCAATTGCCAGGAATGCTTCATGTCTTTTACTTTAAACGACCACGTCTTATAGCCGTGCAACAGGATAGAACGAACTGCAATCCAGTATACTAGTCCTGTGATCGGTAGTCAAATATCTCACTAGTAGGCACCACAGATGACGCATAACTTGATGTTATTGAATACATAGGTGTAGAGGCATGAAGATCATTCATTGTGTTGATATGCTTCATTTCGTCTCTCGATCCCAACTCAATTGTTCTCTAGCTGGTAGACTTCAAATACTGGTAAAGAAAACTAGGGTAGAGAAATATGAAATAATCACGTAGGACTTTATTTTAATGTTTTGGATGGATTAAACACAATCGATTTAAGGTTGGTGTTCGTCATGTATTGACATCAGTTGGGGAACCTGTAATAGCCTGGAGACATTGGTCATCTATTTTGTCCCAGTATGCGACTTCTGAGCAATGTACACTCATGATCCTACTAGGCATCGAACCCCGGAGAATTTCTTTCAAGGTCTTTAAGTGTTGTTATGCTTTCTAGCATTAAAGGATACATATCTGTCAGATTCACGTGAATAAATGCATTTCTAAAATAGTTTCAAGTCAAAGGGCTGTCTGGTTTTTGCGTAACAATCTGAATACCAATCCACAGTTTCAACCAATAAAATAACAGTAGGAAGTAAAACAACGCAAACAGTAGCCAATTAGCATGATGTAGGAAATTTTGCACCAAAAACATCAGTTACTCATTAGTTTTGGCATAATTTCATTTGGATTATAACTTGTTGGATTTTTACCGATTAGCTAATCTATGGTTCCGTAGAAAATTCAAAAATCCCCATGAAATTAATATTTTGTGGCTACGTTCGCCTCAGAGGTAAAGGCTATTAATGTATCACATTTTTCTGGTTAGGATTCGCATTAGTAGAGATTTTATTGAAGTATTTAAGAATGCTAAAGTCTGGAAATTATTGCAAATACTTATACGCATGACAAGCATACTCCACTTTAAAAAGTTAATTCATCATGTATGTTTGTGTACCAATAATCAGAATCTATTCAGTTGAAAAATACATGATTTTTCAACAGAGCATTGAGCAGACAATCGAAGAACTTTCACACTAATAAGTCAGTTAGTCAATATGGACATGTGACCTGACATTTCTGCGTTATATTCCAAGGTGAAACACTACACCTCATGTCAGCACATCATGTGGAAGGTACTAGGATTAAACTGTAGTGAAAAAAGGAAGATAGTAATCAAAAATCTTAGAAATTTGTCAAAACATCGGGGATGAATTATAGACTGATAAAATTCTGTACGATAGTTAGGGGAGTGATAATGCGTGAACACATCTATGCCATCGAGATCGATTCCAAACCGTATCCTCTAAAGTCTGAAACCAGCGATTCTGGCTATCATACAAAACTCAACCTAGGGGCTGAAGTTGATTGATTCGTATCTACCCATACCACTGAGGAGTAGGGAGGCTCACTGTGAAACTCATCTTTTCCAACGTTTACTTCCATTGAAAAGGTGACATCAATATCCTGCTATCTGTCACACTCTACCTAGCTAAGAGTATGAATCCACCCTCGGAATTCCATCATAGCGTAGCAATTAACCCTATGACAGTAGCTGCTTTTTATCGTACCACTGTCTAACTGACCTTCTTGATAATGACGAGACCTCAAGGGCGCATGCCTAACTCTTTGGATCTTGGCGATATACGAACCCAACTACCAGGTCAGGGTAACTGATCATTTCTTCTAAACTGACCTAATTTTTAAATCTTGTCCTACTGATGAAAACCACTATGAAATTTACAAACTGTATTATTAATTAACCGCTTTTTTTTTCTATCTCTTTCTCCTCATTTTATAGGAATTGTTCGAATTTCCAGAATTAGAAACTAGGCAGCAGGTCGATGATTTAAATGCTATGCACAATCAAATCAAAGAATATATACTCAAAAGTGTGTGTGTGTGTTTATTATGTATTTCATTTTCATATTTCCATGTGATATCTTAGTTTCCTTTCTTGTTAGTGGCTATGAGACATGACCATTGATGGGAAGATGCAAAGAGTTGACAAGTTATCAAACACAGATAGGTAGGTAGGTATCTTTGCTTCATTTCATATGTATAGCGTAATCAATGTGCCAACAACGATTTCCATGACATCAAATTCACAACAGAGGAGTCAAACAACCATCTACCATTCCTGGATGTTTTAGTCAGTAGGAGAAATGGGGGAAAGCTGGAAACCCAAGTGTGAAGGAAGCCAACACACACAGGCCAAATCCTCAACTACAATAGCAACAACCCAACAACTCACAAAATTATTTGCTTGCAGACTTTATTCAAAAGAGATCGAGGATACACTGCAGCACAACAACTTCATGGAGAAACGAATAAAATTACTTGATGTTTATTCTAAACAACAACGACTACCCACGAAACTTTATCAGAAGATGTCTATCCCGTACATGATATACTAAAAAGTCATCGACAGAAATCAACAAACGCATCGTCCTACCATACATAAAGAATATATCAGAAATCACGACAGGATTTTACTGAGACCACTTCGATTCGGTGTGGCTTATAAATCAACAAATCCCCTCCAAACAGACCAAAGAAGACAAACAGAATATCATTTACAAAATCAACTGGAATAACTGTAGTCAACACTACATTGGATAAAGTGGCCGCCCTCCTCGCCTTCGTCATTTACATGAACATCAATTGGCTATTAAACGTCATATATGACATTTTATCACTCATTTCAGTGGATGTGGATAATAACTATGGACATGAATTGAATATTGACAACGTAGAAATGTTGGACGGAGAGAGGAAACACAAAGAATGTCAGAGAATTCCTAGAAGCTTGGCATTCAGGTCAGCCAGTCAGTCAGTCAGCAATCGAGAGATGTATACACATAGACCCAATCTATCAAGCAATGAGAAAAAAGACAAACGACAGAAAGGTGAGAGGTGAAGCAGAGGAACAGCCAACAGGAAAGTCTATACAGTTAGTGACATAACAATGAAGGGAGACAATCAATCACAAACCGGTTGATCAGAGTAAGCTACTAAATCACTCATGGAGAGATATTGACAGCTCACTTCATACTGAAGTTAGTGCTAGAAAGACGATGAAAGCTTCACAATTAAATAACCCAGTTCAGAGAACACAATACAACCAAGACCATCCATCTGAGCTACAAATATTCTCTACTTTTTCGGAATCTCTGTGTAAATAATATTGAGGTAAGGTGATGAAAAGTACTAGGTGAAACAGGTAGGTTGATCGATGAAGTTGTTAACCCTCAGTGTACTGCCTCATTCATTTAACATGTTTTACTTTCATATATCATTTCGTTTGATAGATAACTTGCTAAGGAGAAAAGCTAAGGATGTCAAGGTCTTTGTTGTATGCATGTCTGACAGTATTGAGATGGTTATTTTCCACCCCATAGTTTCCTCAAGTAGCTCTTAGAGATCTCTGATAAGAACTCTTTGGAATACTTTCGTAGAATACCAAGTCCTGAATTTTGTAGATAATGAATCAATCTTTTTTTGTCTTACTGTCTCTTCATTTTCCAATGAATGAAAGTATGTTGGCATAGACCATTTGTCAATTGTGTGTAATTCTAATGTCTACATTTGTACAGAATTACAGAACTAGATGATTTGTATATAATTCTAGTTGCAGAACTATATTTACTAATTAATTTATCATGAAGATTGCAACGTCTTATCCTTTATGAAGTTCTTCTTGTTTGTACACTGTTATCCTGCTGAGACTTGCGGTAAAATCTAGTCGATGATACTAAATTGGTCGTAAAGAATAAAGTAATAGAAAAAATCTTTCTAAAAACGCCTCATTCATCATCATCATTATCAACATAGGACCAGGCATTACTGCGTAACGGTCCGAGTTGCCACACCTCATATCAGCACATCAAGTAAAAAGGTAGTGAGGTGGAAGATGAAGACAAGTGAATGCAGTCAAAAGAAATATAAAGTACGAGAAGAAAGGAAAGAGGAGTGACAAAATGGTGAGATTCGGTATAGTGTAGTTAAGATGAGGATAAGGTGTGTATACATCTGCGCCACTCACATCGGTTCTCAGCCATATCACCTAGGGTCTCCAACCACTGGTTCCTCTTGTCCCGTGGACCCCAACCACCTAGTCTGCATCGTCCTACATGGCTTAAACCAATAGTCGGAGACTTCATACTTTGGTGCCATGTTTTAGTCTGGCCACCTCGAGCCTTTTTCCAGCCTGGACCCACCTGAGCCAACATTGTGTGACGAGGCAATCGGTGACTAGGCATACGTAGTACGTGTCCCGACCATCTCAGTCGACGAAGGTTCATAACCTCGTCAACTGACTTACCTCTTCTCCCCAAAACTACACACCTAACTTCTGCATTACTCACATGGTGACACCACGGAATATGTCCTTTACTACGGTAACAGTGGTCAAACACCTTAAGCCTTTTTATATCTTCCACTTTCAATGGCCATGTTTCACAATCATACAGTAGAACAGAGCGGACTGCTGTGCAGTACACTCCACCCTTAATAGACAAACGAATATCACGGCGGCGCCATAGGTGGCGCAAATTGG